ACCGAAACATCAAATGTTGTTGCTATTCAGATAGTTCTGAATCAGCCTGCGTGGGAGTGGGAGGGAGGGAGGGAGTTTTATGGGGTAAAATGGCTGGTGATTTGTGAAAGTCGACGATAAAAACCCCCGAGATGAGGTTGATGGAATTGTTTAGAAAGTTGAACTGAAGATTTGAGAGCTGCTCCACCCTTTCCTCTGCTGTTTGTTCGCTGGGAAAATCCTCCATCGGAAAGGATGCTCCATTAGGAAGGAGCTTAAATGTGCAGAATGGAGCTTTTTGCAAAAGCTGTGTGATGTATTGCAATTCCAACATGTTTTTTTATTCGAATAAGAGGAGTTTTCCTGTTGAACTTCCACAAAATGTGTGGAAAAGAGCATCATTTTGAAGCGTTAGTACACAGACTGCTGGCTCAAATTCCTTTCTGGTTAACCAAGCTAGGTATAATTTTAGTAGGAAAATGTAAAATATCCACAGTTTTCTTTCAATTTTACAATAAATCAATGAGATAGTGTGAATTAAACTTTAAAAAAAGCTGGATTCATGCAGGGTCTTTCCAAAGTTTGGCATGATTCAAGTCTGTTGGATATCATTAATTAATTTGTTGGAAAAATAACCCCTCACTTCTCATTTTAGTCATTACAATTAACTTTAAGAATAAACACAGTGGTGAAAAGCACAGACTAAGATTGAGATAACTTGAATCCCGTACAACCTGATGACTAAGAAAATATACAATTAAAAGATACCTCACTTACAATTTTTACTTCTTAAGATCCAATTTCTTCCTCGCATAACTGTAATTTAAACTTTTCTTTTATTGCAATATATTTATTTAGTTATTAAGACGGTGTGAGCTGTATTATTTAAAAAAATCCTCAACATTAGTTACAGATAGCCTTGTTATGTAATTCTGCCTTTTGCGGACACTATCCATCCACCCCATAAAAAGGAGGTTTACAGAGATGCTAATTGTGGAGGGTACACATCATAAATAAATGTTATAGCCTGCTGGGCCTATTTTGTGTGTTGGAGAGAATAATTATTTTGTTGAGAAACATCTAATGCATACCACATTAAATATTCTCATTTAGTCATTTGAGGAATCATTAATTTTTAAAGTAAATGTGCACTTCTTGGGAGCAGAGAAATACTGTTAATGTATATGGAGAAATAGATTGTTTATACCGACGTTTAATGGTATAATTCACATACAACTATTCATACCTAAGCAGAACGTGCTCTTTGAAAAAAGGAAAGTGTTTCTGAAATGCTTATTTGTATAATAACTGGATAGAACTCATGTTAGCTGAGTTATATGTTTACGTTAGCTGAATAGAATGATAATAGTAAGCTAAGTTTAACTAACGTTAGCACACATTAAGCAACAGCAAGATAAAGAATGTCACAGGCAAGCTTCTTTAGTAATCAAAAGAACCTCACAATTGACTTTTTTCCAATGTAAATTTCTTTCCAAGTACAAAATGATCTTATTTCTCTGAAAAGGTGCAAAGTGTTCTTTTAGCATTTTACATCTCTTCTAACCATTAGCTATTTCAACTTCTGCGCACCTGCAAATTTAACCGGCCACCACTGTAATTTATTGCATAAGTATTATGTTTAGATATAGCTGAAAACCTAATAAAAAAAGTATTATTAAATGTATAAATGTGAGGCTGAAACAAGCATTAAAAATGGAATGAATCTCTTGAGAAAATGCTGCTCCAAAGTTATGCAAAAAGCAGAACAGAAATCATTCTGATGACCCAAAAGAAATGGTTCTCACGAGTAACAGAAGCTTTTAAGAAATTTAATCTTAAAAACAAACAAATTCCATAAGCCAAAGCTGAGAATTGTTCCATTTAATTCTCTCTTTTCACTGTTGCTGTTATATTTCTCCTTCCACAACCACACACCTTTTCAACTAAAGGTTATTTTATTTCAATTTCAAGTGAAGCTACAACAAAGAGCATAAAATGCTTCCTGAACCCAAGAATCTTTCCGATATCCTGGCTGGAGTCGGCCCTTTTGTTCAGCCTCCCACGCCGCGCGTTGCAGGTCCAGTTCTGGGCCGAGCGTCTTTTTTCCCGACCGGGAGATTGGAGTTAGGCGCGGGTCCACAAAACACAGCGGCGAGCAGAGGTCAGAGCCATCAAATCCCGTTTCCTGACACTTTTGGGCTCGTGCGTTCCCGAGATAACATTAGAGAGATGCGACTGTTGCCGGCGTGCCGTCGTCAGGCAACAAGGCTGCGGCACGCTCGCAGTCTCAAACCGTCAAGACGACACTCAGGTTATTTAAAGGAGGATGATTAATGTGGTGGGAAATGGCAAACACCTGCCCCGGCCCTCTCCCTCCTGGGGGGGGGGGGGGGGGGGGGGGGGGGGGGGCCCTGGAAAAAAAAAAAATCTATTCGTTTTTTTTCTTTTTTTTTTCGTGTGTGCGCCTCCTTTTTGGGGGTGTGTGTCTCTATGTGTGTGTGTGTGTTTTTCCTTTTCTATTGTGTTCACTTTTTTGCTTTTTTTTGCACACAGACAGGATCGGATGTGTGCGTGCGTCTTTTGATTGCGCTGACTGGGCCGGTGTGCTGGCAATTAGAAAAACCACCAGTGGCAAGGTGCACATTAATCATGTTCCTCAGCTGAGAGAGAGAAATAGGGCGGAGAAGGGGGGAGGAAGAGGAGGAGGAGGAGGGGGAGGAGAAAGAATAATGAGAGGCTGTGTCGGAGGCATTCTGCTGCGCCGTGTGCTCCGACATGATGTTGGAGGCATTTATGAATAAGCAAGGTCAAGACAATGGGCCCCGGCCCGCCGGACTCGGGGAACCAGGGCTTGGTTTTGCTGCATATTCTCCACTGGGACGCGCCAGCTGGGGGCCGTGTCGCACTATCATTGTTCCTGAAACGGGGGCATCAGCGCCAGGTTTTCGCCTCACTTTCTGTTCCCCTAAAATCGCACAATCGGCAGTAAACTGATTTCAAGTCGAGTCAAGTAGGCTTTATTGTCAATTTAGATTCATGCAAAGATCAAGTCAAGTCAAGTAAGCTTTATTGTCTATTTAGATTCAAACAAAGATCAAGTCAAGTCAAGTAGGCTTTATTGTCAATTTAAATTCATACAAATAATTGAAATTGCGTTTCTTGCTTTCCCATGCAGACATAGACATGGATTTTAGGTGTGGACATAGACAGTTAGACAAAGACAGTACACATACATTATACCTACAGTACCTATACAATACCATACAGACATAAACTGGTGGTTTCAAAGCATTTTGATCTTCTTTTGGTAAATAATTTACCGGTATTGCTTCAGATACTAAGTTTATATTTGGTAACCTTTGAATTTTTACATATTTTTTCAGTGGTTTCACATGCTTCTTCAGTCCATTCCCAGTAAGTAGGTGTAATATTTTATGAAAACATCAAGCACATTCCAATCTATAGTCATTTAGAGGAGATTTGTTTATGATTTAAAAAGTTTGTTCAACTTTAAGGAGCTTACAATTTAATCTGTGCTCAGAGCTGAAGCCTCTCCAGCAGCCGTGTCCTTTCTTTAAGGAGTCTTCAGGAGCAGCTCTCCAAGCTTCTTTATTCACTTTCAGGTAGTTTTTTAGGCTCAACTCTTCTTCTTTTATCCAGTTTCCTCAAATGTTTTAAGGCCTCCCTGCTCACCAGGCTGAGATCTGCCCGGTTTCCAACCAGCAGCTCTTTGGGAATACTAAAAATCCTGTTTCCTGTCTGTCAAACTGTTTTGTTTGGCCTTTTTCAGCCATCAGCTACAGAAATGGGAACACATGATGTGACAGGCTGCTGCTTAGAAAAATCCCAAAGATCCACTTTAACCTGCAGACGCTGGCTCATCCCTTGAGTTAGGGGCCTTAGTTTTGCCTGAATAATTAACAGGTCAGAGTTAAGTGGCTTAATGAGGAAAATATTAAACGAAAAGTTGGAAAAAAGATTACTATTGAAGATTAGAAGACAGTTTAGCTGCTTGGAGGAAGATTTGAAGAACTGAGGACTGGATCAATGGACGTATGCAATCACTGACTTTATTGGTTTATTTTTAATTACATGGATCTGAGCCTAATAATGAAATCGCTTTGTGTAAATAAAGGAATAAAGATGCTCCATTTATCCGCGTTAAAGTGCTGAATGGAGTGCCGGTGTGTGTATTTAACAAAAATTAGACGAAAATTTCCGTTCACTTTTGTTCGGGTCTTTTTTCAACCTAAGATTTTCCTGAAAACATTTGGTTTCTACTCCAACAAAAGCATAATTAGATGTGTGACCTTTATGACCCGGGATGTTTTTGTTACTTCCCTCCTTTATAGAACTACGTCAAACCAAGGTTACAGGCGTCTCTGAAGGTAAATCAGACACAGAAATACGAACAGGAGCAGCAAAGGGAAAAAAAAAAGCAAATTCTGAGTGGCAGGTTTGTCCAAAATCAGCCCTGTTTACACTGACGTCCTCTTTATGTGCCAAAGGGCCGTGAGATCTGACAGGAGGTGTTTTGGGATCCAAGACAATCCCCTAAAAAAAACCTCAAACCATATTGTTGTTGTGCTCGTCTGCAGAAGATAAAGTTTTTTTTAATTTTACAGCAACAGCTGGCTGCTGTGTGTCTCTGTGAAACAATCTCTGAGCTTCAGACCCCATCTAACGTTCCCC